ATGAGAAGCCTGATGGCCTGTGTGGTGTTTTGGCAAATGAAAATACCTGGACCATCAGGTTGTAAGGTGTCAGTGTCTTGTGGCAGAAATAAGTGACAAAAAAGCATTGATAGAGTACCCTGCCAACTTTTTTCACTTGGGTTGGAGTTGTTTCCCTCTCCACCCTTCTCCCCATTTTAATATTCATTCTTCTTTCTGTCCTTTGCCTGCTTGTTGCCCATTGATCTGGACACTTGCTTTTTTAACCTTATATTATAACTATAATTATAGCTATAGGGATAGATAAACAGATGGGTAGACAGGCAGATGGATAGCTATCAAACCTAGTATAACAAACATTTCAAACTAGGAATAAATCATAACATCCCATTTAATGTTGCTCTATTGCTTGGCATCACTAACCATAAATATTTATTCCTTTATCTGAAATGTTGTTGAAGTCTCATTGCATATAATTGGTGTAACAACATTCCAGAAATCTCTTTCTTAGACTTGTGGACTACCCAACTCATTAGCTCTATTTCTATATCCAACAGAAGAGCCCTGGAATAAACATTCAGTTGACTTGTCACAAGGGTTGGGCTGAAGGAGAAGGAAGACTCACATTTTGATGGAAGGGTCAGACCACCTGACCCTCTGCTTTGTCTGAAACAGCCAAAAAAAGAGGCTTTCCTATTATACCCATTATGGCACTATGGGGTAAACACATACCTGGGGAAAATGGGTTTTTAAGGGGCATTGAACTCTGATTGTGGTCTGACTGATTTCCCGCTTCCTGAGGTTCTTTGGCCATCTGTCCAGTAATTTGGTCAGATTTTCATTACCAAGGTTTCAAGCAACACAGCCCCCTTTGTTCCATTGTGGACGGGGAAAGGAACACAAGGCCATAATGTAACTGTTTTGCTCTCATTATATGGCTCTGGGAACAAGACAGATTTTAGGATTTATTCTCAACCACTCCATCCATAATGTAACTGTTTTGCTCTCATTATATGGCTCTGGGAACAAGACAGATTTTAGGATTTATTCTCAACCACTCCATCCATCTGCAAACAGAGGCTATGTTGCAGCATATGATGGCACCCTATCAATGTAACTGTTTTGCTCTCATCATACGGCTCTGGGAACAAGACAGATTTTAGTATTTCTTCTCAACCACTATGTTGCAGCATATGATGGCACCCTATCGCATGTAGATGACCTTGGAAATTATCCATACAGTATGTAACTCAGTAGGATAACAGATTCAAAATAGAGTGACATAGCTGTGTTTTCCTACCCACTGGATGATGCCCACTACTGTCCCTGAAAAATAGGTGGACACCTATGGATTCAGGCAGGTTTTAGTCAAGCAAAGCAGATTAATATACCCCATTCAGAACTACATGCAAGTTACTGATGTGGCATTCAGCTTCAACCTTTTTTTGACTCAAAGAGCTCTACTACAGCCATGAGAAATCTGTTGGTTAGATAATGCATCTGGAAGAGGGTAGTTGTAATATGTTTTTTCTACTCAATTGGTCTTTTCTGTTTGCATTACCAGAATTCTCTGTCCTTGCCCTAAGCAAAATAGCTCCATGCTCATCTCCCTTTTACTTCCTCCTCCTCTTGAACAAGACAATGTTCTCTGGCCACTGTAAACTTGGCAAAAGTGGGGATGATGGAAAAACACCTTGTATAACTTTTCTTCTCATCCTCCTAAATATAACACAGATTCCCAGTTGTAAAGAACAATTATTTCTTTTTGCAAACTAAGTGCTAATCCAGGAACAGAGCAGAATGATTGCAATTCTTGTGCAGAGTGGCATCTTGTTGAGGATTCACCTAGAAAGGGGGGAAAACATCAAACTCTGGAGGTTTGTTACAGTTCTTGTACAGGATGGCATATTCCTTGCATAAGATTCACCAGAAAGGCCATGAAGATGGTGAGAACTTGGCAGTTTGCCACTGAGAGTAACAGATGTACATGAAGAACATAAAGAAAATGAGATCAAGAAGCCAGGAAATCTCCCTGCTTCAAAGGGAAGTTCTAGTGGCCAGTCTTGGCATGACAAGATTGCAAAAACTGGTGAGAATGAGAATTTGCAAGTACCTGTCACATCCCTAGTAGAGATGGACAAAAATTGCTGTTTCAGTGGTTCAGCATGATGTGTTTCCTTGCCGTATAGCTGATTCGCTGTACAGTGCCCCGTCCCCTCCAGTGGGGAGCCCTCAGCAGCAGTGCCCCACCTTGCCTCCTCCAGGCTCTGCGGCTGCGCACTGGAGGGGGCAGGGTGTCAAACCAGAGATCAGCTGTTTAGCTGGGAAACAAACTGTGCCGAACCACTGAACCAGCAGTTTGTGCCCATCTCTGTCCCATGGTCACTTCAGAATAAATGATCTACTAAGGTTTTGTACTACTTATTTTTAAAAAAAACTTTTTATTTGTTTTTGATGGGAATAGGATTGGGCATAGGGGGCTGGGGGAATAGATATGGGTAGGGGGAAGGTAAAATTAAAAGGTAAAGAGGTAAAAGTAGTGAGAGAATACTTTTACATCCACTTATACAATTATACTAAAAGAGGAAGAAAACAAAAAAACCCAATAAAACAAAACAAAAATAGAACAAAACATGTTTAACCATAATTGCTATAGTTACTAATCTCTCCATTCCCTTTTTGGACCTTCACATTCTTCTTTTATCTGTGCTTTCCTATCCATATTTTGACTCCAGCTGTAAAATCGTCCCCACTTTTTGAGATGACCTTTCATTTAGTGCTTCTGTTAGTACGCTCATCTCCGCCAGTATGTAGTTTCTGCCAGCTCTTCTAAGCATGGTATTTCTGCTTTGGTGGCGCTGCGAGTTAAACCACAGAAGCCTCTGTGCTGTAAGATCGGAAGACCAGCAGTCGTAAGATCAAATCCATGCAATGGAGCTCCCGTTGCTTGTCCCAGCTCCTGCCAACCTAGAAGTTCAAAAGCATGTAAAAATGCAAGTAGATAAATAGATACCATCTCAGTGGGAAGGTAACAGCATTCCGTGTCTAGTCATGCTGGCCACGTGACCACAGAAACTGTCTTCGGACAAACGCTGGCTCTACGACTTGGAAATGGGGATGAGCACTGCCCCCTAGAGTTGGACACAACTGGACTAAATGTCAAGGGGAACCTTTACCTTTACCTATCCTAGCTGCAGTACAGCTTTTTTTTAAATGATTGATTAGCTTAATCTATGAGAGCCAGTGGGGTGTAGTGGATAGAATGGTGACTAGTAAGAGGCTAGAGGACTACTGCGAGAAGCTCCAAATATTCGTTACTATGAAGTTTCTACGAGGATTAACTATGAAGATTCTGCTGATGAATGTGGAGTTTTAAATAGCATGGTTAAAGAACTAAAGCTGGTCCTGTCTGTCTGTCTGTGTGCAGCTCACAAGCACATATGCACATAAAAGTTTCCATCTCTTTTAACCTATGAATGCTAAGTACAAAGAACTATAGTATTTAAATGCAGATCTGAAAAGTTAACATGTTTCTATCCAATGTTCTTTTTTTCCCTCCTGCTGAAAAGATGTAAATCTTCCAGCCACTATTGTCTAAGACAAAAGCACTGGAATAATGGCCCCTAGTCACTGCCAGAAAGCCCAGTTGTATAGACACATTAAATCCTAAAAGCACGTATTTTATAGGGGACATGTCTGGCTTGAAGCATTCTTTGAGGAAGCTGTCAGAGATGTGGTAATTCAAAATTCTTTGCAGGTTCTCTGGGGGATGGGAAAACATTGAGCGGGGAGGGCGGCATCTTTTTTTCTCCCAGCTCTTTGTCTGCAAATATCCCTTCTCTCCAGGCTACTGCTTCAGTTGCCTTTTACAAAGGCATTCTGTCTTTGGTCGGGTGGAGGGGAAGGGGGCAGAGGAATACTTAAACTGAAGCTGAAAACTATATTTGACAATTTCCCTAAGAAGTATTCCTCCCAGCAACCCCTTTTTCATGATCTCTGTAAGCAGTCCAAAGTTGCATTCAGTTGTGTGATAAATATGTGAAGATGGCTTAACCCATGGGTGGGGAGTTGGCAATATGATACATCCCCTTCATTTATGTCAAAAGCAATCCAAAGGTGCTCCCAGAGTGGAAGAATCAGCTAACAAGGCACTGTCCTTGCCCAGGAGCCACCTGCATCTGCTCCCAGCCCTCAGGTTCTTTGGGAATCTCCTTCTGTGTTTCTCAGTATGACACTGGTACAAAATGAATAAATACACTCTCTTTCCTTTCTAGTTTGCAGCAATGTTTAAAAGTTGTATTTTCAACCTGTGGATGGAATGAGTGCCTCTCTGTGAAAATATTCTGATTAAGTCCAAATTCACTTTTACAATATGACGATGTGATGTTTGGTATGTGGGGAAATCTCTGTTCTGAATTGGGTTGCTTGTGTTCTTATTTTCATTTTGGAACTGCCTACACTTTCTTTTGTGGCCTCTCATGGTGTATAGGCTTAAATTTTGTTCTGTTGCTGTAGGTCAAACACAGTTTGCAGGTTTTGAAACCTTTGAAAAACCTACAAAGACTGGCCAGAAACAGCTTTGGGTTGAATGAGTGCAACAGAGGCAACTGTGCTTTGAGCAAAATTCCTCTTGCTGTCTGAAGAATAGTTTTCCATTTCTCATCTCATTTACCTAAATGTATCTCTGCAGGGCATAACCTGTGAAGACGAATCACTATATGATTCCTGTTTGTTATAATTTTCAGCACAACACAATAGTTCTCTCCCCTCCCTCCGTCCCCACTCTGCTTTTTCTGATGGTTTGCACTGGCAACTTAAGGATCTCTCAGATAAGGTGAGGAATTCAGTGCTGTATGACTTTTCCCGTAGTCACTTTGAGCATAAAAGAATTTGCAAGTACTTATGAAAAGATGCAGACATGGTGGTGAGGGGGCAAAGCTCTTAACTCTTGGTTCCTCTCTTGCAGCATGCCAATTGGGTTTCTTTAAGGATTTGCCCCAGAGTCAGAGGTGCACCAAGTGCCCCCCACACAGTTACACTCGTGAAGAAGCGTCAACTACCTGCCTTTGTGAAGAGCACTATTTCCGAAAAGACTCTGATCCACCCACCATGGCCTGTACAAGTGAGTTAATTTGCACTGAATATCTTGAAAAGTCTGATGAGTCCAGTAGTTGATAATAATGGACACACAAAGCTATTATGAATACATGAAGCCACCTTCTGTCAAGTCAGATCACTGGACCACCTCACCCAATTCTGCCTGTTCTGGAATGGTTCTCCAGGGCCTTGGGCTGAGGTCTTTTCCATCCCAGCAGTCTATCCCCTTTCTCATAGCTCTTCCCAAAAGTGGGGAATGACAGTACAAAATGGAGAGCAAGCCTCCTTTATTTGTGGAGACTCTCCATGTATCCAGAAAAAGATATGTCCTGGATCTACACATAGCAGAGATTGTGCTGCTCAGACAGTATTCTCTACATGTGAGGAGAGCAGTTGTGGCAAGGAAAGGGTGAGTTCACTCCCCCTTCTTGCTCTTGTATTTTAACCATACCTAGAATGTCTGAATAGTACTAGCGATGCTATTTTAACAGAATCTAGCAGGGATAAGAAGAACAGAATTGAGAGGTGTTTGGGACGTTTTCTTTAACCATGGGTAGTAGCAGTGTATGTGTGTGTGTGTATGAGAGGGGGAAAGGGACATTTGCTCAGGGCCAAACTGGAAATAATGGAAATTATTTCAGGTCATGTCAGTATAAAGATTGTCCAGTGACTCTCTGCTGTCCACTTACAAAGGAAGAGAGAAAGATAGAGACATCTGTGGTTTTGTAGGGGGAGTGTTTATATATTTGAAATACAGAGATTCAAACCTGATTGCCTCTTATTGCTTTTCCTATTCCTGGAAAGCTTTGGGGCTTACCTGATGAGCCTAGTGTGAGATTGCAGACCTCTCCTTGCCAGTACATCTTAAGAGAACATGCAGACAACGTGATTTGAAGATACAATCATTCCCTTCTCACACCTCCCCTGCAATTTCTTTTTCCTTTCCTGAAAAAGAGAGCTAGGAGTCTTGAAAGCTTGTACGGATTTTTGGGGGGTAGTTTTTAAATACCATATGGTATCTGGTGTCGTGTTTCTGCAGGCGCTTGCTGTGTTCATGCATTAAATGTGGGTCTGGTTTTAAAGTTAAAAGAACAGAGAGATGAAGATGTGTAAAAGCTGAGCTCTCACCTTACTTGACTGTATGTTGTTGCCTGAAGTTCTTTTTCACTTAGCTCAGCTTGCAGTTTGTGCTAGGGTTGGGGCAGAAAAGATGGTTATATGAGGCAAGGGCAGGAGGAACAGCAATAACTTCTCTCACCCCTATAAAGCTATTCCTATTAAAATTATATCGTTCTACCATTTCTTTGTACATGAACAAGGCAGATAACAAACACAGCTGTCACCATCTCCTTTATGTTAGCCCTATGAGTATTGTTCTTATTAAAGAAAGGTGATGGAACACCATAGGTGAAAACCCCACCCAGTGGCAGAGGCATCCTAAATCAGTTTTCCTGCTGTAATCTTAGATCCCTACCCTACAATTCCTCAAATCTCTCTAGAGGGAGTCCCAGCTCTCTGTGTTTCTCATGTGCATCTTAATGCATTTTGGAATGCTAATATGGTTCTTGTCATTTCACATATTGGTCCTCTTTCATCTGTTCCTTTTGAATTTTATATTTTCCCCTAGCTGTGATAGCAAACTTGTTGGTGTTATTGCTGTGTAAAAAAAACTTGACTGTGGAGAATACTGGTGAGCTTGCAGGCCAGCCTCTGGTCGCACAGGCCAGTAGTCTGGCTATGATTAACTTTATTTGGGGGAGAATATGCACTGCCAAAGGAATCTTGATATTGTTTCATATAGTACACATTCCTCAGTAATAGCAACTGCTAGGGTCATGGTCTCTTCTCACATGAGGAAAACAGTTCATAGTAGATTTGCATAGTCCTTTTTTGTTTTTAGGACAGTGGTGGTTTAGGGAGGCCTACCTGCACATATCTACATATTCACAGCGTCATCATGCACGTCTCTAGCCTGTAAAAGGTCTGGATCTGTCCTGCAGGTCTACTGTTGGAGTTGGTGAGGCTTCCCTGAATGCATGTTTCCTTCGCACGGGTAAATCCTGTATGAGGAATCCTGGTACTGTACTATTCAACTCTGGAGAGATTGATCCCAAGCCCCGTCCGGCCCTCTTCTCATTCATAGTTGATAAACCTGAGTGAAGAAGGGCCGTCCGCAGGTCAGAGCTGACTGGGACATTCTGTGCGCATGGGTATGCAAGTCACTCCATGCCTCTTGCCGTGTAAAGAAGGGGATATGTGTACAGGAGAGAATGAAGGGCCAGATGACATCAGAGAAGGAAGTGGAGCTTGCAGACCTAATGGTGTCATTACTGTGTAAAAACCTGGCTTTGGAGGATAGTGGTGAGCTTGATTTTACTTCCTGGCTGGATGCTGAGGGCAGTCTCAGGTAATAACAATGGGAAAACAGTAATCTCAGAAGCCAGTGAATATTGACAGCCATCTTCCACAGCCTGCTTGGAATGGAATGGGGTGGGCGGGTAAAGAATAGAGTTCTTCTGGTTTTAGGAGCTGCAGAAGAAATTCCCAAGAGTCACATAGGACCCCAGGCATCCTTGTTTTCAAATGTACTATCTCCATAAAGGGCAGCATACTCTTGCCACATCCTGTCTCCCTTTCTCATCAGCAGCTACAAAGTCCAATCTTCTCCTTCCTGCTCATTCCACGGATCTTTCTCTTTCTAGTACTCATTCACGTAGTGAATGTGTGTCCCTTTGGGAGTGGCCACCGGCCATTGACACTGATTATTGCTAAAGACTAGGAAACAGATCACTCTATACCATACCCCACAATAACATTCCTGTTGCAATAGCAATTTTCAGAATCTTGTTTTGTGAGGCTTTTTGCCCCAGGATAATCGTTTTCCATGGCTATGAACTAAATGAAAATTTGCAAAAGTGTTTGAGTCTGGACTCCCAGGTGGCTTTTGGCAATTTTCCTGCATAATTTCCTGTGGCTCCTTGACTGTTTTTACAGCCTCCACCTCTCTCCCAGCCTCCTTTTTTTTCTGGACAAAAAGATGTATTGCACTATCTAGCAGAAAGCATCCTATTTTTCAAAATCTGTGGTGGACTTCAAGCCATTTCCTATTTCATTTCCAGCAGTCTTGAGTCCCAAGATGGTTCTTGGGGGGGGGGCAGGAAAAGAACCTCAGTCCACCCCTCCCTCAAGGTGCTGGCTCCACCTTCCTTGAACCACTCATACCACAAGCAGTTTAAGTATCTCATTTCCATTTATGTCACAGAAAGAAGGCAAGAAAACTTCAGCTTATTGAAAGGCTGGACATAGTCAAAGAAAAATACAGTATCTCCTTTCATAGGCCATACAATAATGTTATAAATCTAAGAGAGGCAAAGATTATTCCCAAAGCTATGCATTTAGGAAATTTGAGTCAGCTCTTTGCCTTCTGTTAATTGACTAAAAACCATTATTTCTAAGGATATGGTGATCGTTTCAGTTTTTTAATAGTTTCACCTCATGTGTGAACTCATTATTTAAATAGTGGGTTTCAAATTTTTTTCTTAGGAGACCTTTTTTTCCCCTTGGAAACTTATAAGTAGTTTCTTGATGATTAGTGGCAAACAAGGTGTCTTGAGACAAGAGAATCCAAATATTAGAGGAAATTGTAGCCGTAAAAATGTATATTTTGCAAACAGCTTCCAAAGTTCAATGAACAACCTGAATATTAAGTTTTCATTTCTTGTTTGTGGACATAAGTGAGAAAGGAACATGTTAAGGGACTCTTCAATGAGACATCACTTGTGTTATTTACAGTTATTAGTTTTCTGCATACATTAGACACAATACATTACAAAGTAACAAACTGTTTAAGTGATTTATGCTCATGCCTTCAACAGAAATTCATGTTCTACATTGTATGTATAGCAAATATCTCCAAATGAAACTTTCAGTATGGTTTTATGAAAACAAATACAGAATAAAATAATGTAATAATCAAAACAATTCATTAACTTTTGCCATTTCAAGCTTCCCTTTACTTTTAGGTTGTATCAGACTTTATACTGCCCACAGTTTTCCACACTTGTTTTTCCAAGTCTGTAGCCCTTTGCTTTATTTAGTCATTTATTGTTTTTTAAATCAAATCAAAAGCAAGTATGCATTCCTATAGCCTGGATCCACATCCCATTGAACTCAGTAACTATACATGGACTTGCATTATAATTATACTTAGGTCTAACTGAAATCACTGGGGAAAGTTGGCACTGAATTAATGTGTCTCATGCTTTTCATAGAAAATTAAATTCTGTGAAATCTAGATCCAGGCCAAAGTGCATTTCTTTTTAAATATAAGAAACAGGAAATGGAAGCTTTTGTGGAAAGATAAGAGAAGCTGAAATAATGGTGCTAGTACTGAAATTGTGTTAGTAAGATAGGGATAAAGTTAATAGAAGTACTGTGATTTGTTTTTATAAATTCATGCAGGGCTCTAGGAAGACAAAAAATTACCTACAAAAAGATAGGATTTATTTTATTCTTTTTTAAAAGTGCAAACAGTGATACATACTAGATAATGGTGATAAGAGGGGAAGGAAGAGCCGTATCTGATAGGGAAAAAAAAATCACTTCAGTAATTGTATTCAGATTGGTTATCTGGAAGATAGGAAAGATGCCAACATCACGAAGAATAACAGAGAAGCAAAAGTAGGAAATAGTTATGGAACTGTATTCCAAAATATCTATATCTTTTCCTTTATCTATTACATTTATATATCACACCATTCTTCATAAAGAATATGGGATGTCTATGAAACACGATGCAACACGCAAGTGCTAAAATCATTAATATAACATTACAGAGGAACAAGATAAAATAAAACTAATCCAGTAGTTGCCCTTTTCCTGAAAACCTTGTTTTGAGCTATTGCCTTAAATGGCAACAGAAAGGAACACACAGGAGATAGGTCCAAAGCTGAGATATTATCACTAAGAAAGCCCAGTAGAACCATGTTCATTAGCGGCACCACAGGCGCAGCCCCCCACAGTTTT